GTATGTATTAAAAACATTACAGGGAAAATCTTTGAGAGTGTAAGTCAACTGCTCTTATTGCCTCACAATAAAATCCTTGTTAACAGTTTGTATGCAGAAGTCTCAACTTATGTGTATTTTAGCAGGAATTAATATAGTTATTAGTGCCTAAAGCAGAAAAGTAAAGACAGTAGAGGATGTCCAACACTAATCTTTGTTTCTAAGTCTTTAGATACAGTGAAATATCTGAGCTTCATCAATGTACGATTAAAGAAAGTGTTTTTATTCACGATATAATTAACTCTGCATTCGCTGATTTTGAACTCTAACCATGTGGACTCAAGTCAGACTGGATACCTTCACCCAGACCCAAATAATTAAAAAGTGTGCCACGAATTAATTAACCATTAACGCTGTTCATCCCCAGCAAATCTGTGGGTTCGCCCAAAACAATGTACAGTATAAATAAGTTAAATACTTGGTCCCACCTCTTCTGTTGGCTACTGATTCTGTGTTAAAGGTGAAGCGAGGGACAGCTACACCGCTAGATGCCACTAAATCCTGCAACACTGGACCTTTTAATAGGCTTCTTTTTGAGTGTTTTCTTCTCACTGTTCGATCTGATCTTTGGTTGTTTAGACTTTAAAGAGTTGAACACAACCTATATTCACAGAACCTCTGATGAACAGTTTGTATCGATACATCAGGACCCCCAGGTGGAGAACCATTATCCTAACAGCGTGTCATTTCTTTCTTTGGGGCAAATGCAGATTAAAAGGAGATCAGAAAGATGCTGTTTTCACTTTGACTTTTAAAAGAGTTCCTTTTCACTTTTCTCCCTTTTATGTTGTCGTCACCTGGAGTTTTACACTTTGCACTAAATAAAACAGAGAATGGCTGGTTTGTTTTAAAGCAGGGCAGCTGTGAGGAGCCTGAATTCGTTGCAGATGTGAGCTGTGTTTTTGGGTCCTTCCAGACTCCAGATAGAAACCTGAGCTACTGTTGCAGTCGTTTCCAGCTCGCGCTGACAGCGGTTTGGAGGCAGCGCCGCTTCCTGTCTCCTCAAGTGGGACTGAACTCGCTGCCGTTCTGGTTCGTGTTGAGCCCTCGAGCCAAAGAAAAAGCCCCAAAAGTGATCTCATTCCAACACTAACTGCTTTTTCATGCCTACGGAAGCACATTTGTGACTGAATAATAATAATTTTAGTCATCAGAAAAGGACATGGACAGTATAAATATCTTTAATTTGATGTAAATTCTGAGTCTAAGAACTTTGTACTAAATGTTTTTGATGTGGATAGAAAAATATGTCCTTGTTTTATAAGACGAATCTGTTCTCACTTTTCTGTGATTGTTTGGTACGGCAACCTAAATATAAAGGATAAAAACCACATTAAGGTCCCACAGACACTCCTGATTTCTGTCTTTGACCAGCAGGTTCTCCACAAGGCCACATCCATACAGGACTGTACAAACCACCTCCTGCACCTCGAGTCTGAAACTCTTCCCTCAGGCTGTAGATTTAGAGAACCACGGCTGAAGAGCAATAACTCTGCTTTATTTGCACATTTTAGCATCTTGCACATTAATTGTTTTGCATTGTTGTTGGATTATGGTTTACTGTAAATTATATGTACAGGAATCATTTGTGTTTTTTATGCCTGTGCCTCTGACTGCAAATCAAGTTTCAAAATCAATAAAAATGACTGAACCTGATGATAAAGAACTCAAAATATTGACTCAACAATAATGAGAAACTCAATATTTTGAGAAACTCATAATAAAGACTTACGAAATCCTTTTTTTCTTTCCACCCGCCTGCACATTGGCAGGAATGTGCTTCCATACAAACCTCTGCAGAAATAAAAACAACCAGTCTCTCTTTAAATGAAACGTTTTTATTTGGCATTATTTTCTTGCAAAAAATATAAAAAAACGCAAGCATTAAAGAATCACATGTACAGTACTTAATTTACACACATTTAGAAAAAGAAAAAGAACTTGTTTGCAATGTTTCAAACTTGTGTTCTCACCGGTGAAACAATAAAAACAGAATATTTTAAAGTTGTGTGGAACTGAAACCAGAGACGGTTGGTGTTATGGCTTTATGCGGCTTCTCTAAAACCACAATGAAAGCGTCGCACACGAGGACACTTCTTGCCTGAGGACGTCCTGAACCTGGATTTATTTTATTTTTTTAAAACAACTTTATCACCTCAGTGGAAAACAGAAAACATCTCACTACTTTTTTTATTTATTTTTTAATGATGCAAGTCATCTGGGCAACGTAGCGCAACAAAACAAATCTTTTCATAATAACCTACAGAGCGATCAGTAACATCGTATTCACAACACGGGCCTTTACAAGCAGTATTCCAGTGTCGCTGCATGTTAATAGAGTTACTAGAAATCAGCTGCAGTTTGTCCCTCCCATCCGTCGTCATCACATTCAAACGTCCACTTGCTGCACAACAAGAACCAGAAGGTCGTTTAGAAACACTTACAGCTCGTCTGAAGGCATTTCAACAATCTCCAAAGACCCTTTTCCTCATCTGGATTTTTAAAAAAGGGGGCTTTTTTTCTTTAAGAAAGTGTCCAGAAATGACATCGCCCTGCTTGTTTTATACAAGAAATATAAAAACTTGTGTATGAAAATAGAAAAACATGAATCTTACGTAGATATTACTTTTAATTGTGTTGTTTTGGAACATTTTCTTTTTGCTGTTGCTTCTTTTGGCAGTTTGTTTTTCACTGTCATTTTCTTTTGTCATATTCTGAGGTTTATGTTTGGCTCGTTTTTGCCTTTTCTTCCTTCATTGATTGTGATTTGTTGTTTGTGTGTGGAAGAGTAAGAGTGGCCACCATGCTGAAGCTAACAGGAATGTTACAATTTTATTTTGAGTTTGTTTTTGTTCCATAAATATTTTCATACACGATTAAGAGAACAAGCTGGTTTGTAATTTCCTGCTCCTGTACAGACGGTTTATAATAAATCAATTCAGATTGTTGAAACGCCTTCGAAACTTTGCTCTGCCGTGTGAATGTGGTGATAATATGACAAACTGGGGGAGCTGCAGATAGAAATGAAGTGTATTTCTACCTTCCACAGCCACTGCTTTACATTCATTTTAAAGAAAAAAACAACGTTGAAACTTGAGACTTGCTGGAGTTCAGATCCATCACAGAGCAGACCTTTCTCATCAACCTGCAGTAAAATCACCACAGAGTGATAGAACTCAATGTTCCCTGTGACGGATTATCTGATAAAAAAGCGTGTAAGCGTCTGCCAGTTGACTCTCACACTGCACAGACACAAACAGAAACGTAAAAAGCTGCAGCTCGCAGTACAGTGTGTGTTTTATCTGCAGTAAACACGTCACAAACATTCACAAACACTGGAACGCTTCTTCAGGCCCGACTAGCTCGCAGTGGAAACCAAGAACAAACACACAGAGCAAACCCAAGAGAAAAAGAAATTCAGTGTATGATGCATTCTCAAAAAACAGGCACAGCAGATCACTAACCTTTGACCTTTTCACCTTCAGTAACAGTCCAAGGCCACCACTAGCAGGTCTGTACACTACAATGTATTTACAAACAGTACAAGGGCTTGACAGCAGTTTGCCAGAGAAGGCTGCCAGTGTGCGTTCTGATTATCCGGCGTTTCAAGCGACATTAGACATTAAATTCTGGAGGAAACGCTTTTTTTTTTTGGTCAGTTTTAATATGAATTCTGACAAACATTGGCTGTGAAACCGGAGCGAACACACTGACGAGCCTTCTCTCAGTGGGACTGTGAAGAACGTTTGGTCTCTGAAAAACTCACCTGGACCCATGAACGTGCCAAAATATCTTAAATAACAAAATATATATAATATATACACTTTCATTTAAAAACAAACAAAAAGGTGGTGATGCACCTGAGACACCAACACACACACACACAGACTGAACGACAGCAAAGAGCCGAACACAGTCTGAGCAAAAAATACAAAAACAAAATGAAACTGAACGAGGAAGCAAACATTCAAAGGAAAATACACATCTGTACAAACATACGTGTGTGTGTGTGTGTGTGTGTGTGTGTGTGTGTGTGTGTGTGTGTGTTTTTTTTCTGTGTAAATCTACTGAATACTGCCGATAATGAAAGCCTGATTGGGGGGGTGGGAGGATCAGTGGGAGCGTCTACAACACACACACACACACACACACACACACACACACGCTGACTGCTGGCTTCGTGTG